ATTGTGTCTGTGTGTGTGTCTGTCTGTGAACACGATAACTCGAAAACTATTAGAGCTACGGGGATGGGAAATTTGGTATGTGAAGTCTTTCACTTATAATTTGTAGGTTTTCTATCAAATTTTGGACAAAATCCGTCAACGGAAGTCTGTCTGTCTGTATGTCTGAAGTAATGCGAACACTATAACTCAAAAACTTAGTATAGATGAATAAAATTTGAGGTACACAGTTTTATCATCATGAATAAGTCTGTATCAAATTTTAGGCCAAATCCGTCAAAGGGTTGACTGTCTGTCGGTCTGTATAGTCGCATACTTGTAAGAATTATATCTCTAAACCCCTTTAGCTTAGATAAATAAAATTATTTATGACACGTTTGCTAATATTAATTATAGATCTGTGCTCAAATTTCGTCTCAATCCATTTGGAAAAAAAAAGGTGTTCAAATTGCATATTTGGTTCAAACTGCACATTGCGACTCTGTTGGCGAGCGGTTTCGTTTTATTTTACTCAAATTAGTATAGTTGGCTTTTGACCTTGGTCTACGAAATTGTAGCTTCGAAAACGCCGTTTCTTCCCATTTACCTTTTTTCTCCCTTTTGGCGATTCTGATCTTCTCGGGATTATTTTATTTCCGTTTTGTCGTTTCAAAGTGTGCTGTACAAAACTTGATTGCGTTCTGGGAATAAGCATATTCAATTTTTATCCGAGCGAGTTTGCGGGGACGGCTTAATTTCGCTTATTTTTTATCTCCACTGCGCTAGAGGGGTTTTGGCTTATTTTTTTGTCCCTACATGTGTTAGGGTATACAGAAAGTTTAGGAGACCACTCCGCTGGTTCTAATTTGGTCGCCTTCGTTTTTTTACTCTGTTAAATCTGATTAATAATTTTTAATTCTTTTCAGTCATTTATTGGAAAGTTTAATTATGCCACAATTAAATAGATTTTTCAAAAGAAAATTAAATATTATACACATTCTGTAGTGATTGGAAAATTTCCCCAAATGCACAAAAAACTTGTGCTAAGGAAAGCAAAATACTAACACAGCATGGATCACAGCTTTCCAGCTGAAAATACAGGTAAGGGAGTTTTAAATTACTCTTTAAATTTTTACCACCTATTCTATTTATATAAATGTGTATGTTGAAGTGAAATGTTTGTGATACTCCTAAAATATTTTTAATAGAACTGTGTTAGAAAACGCCATTTTTACTTGAAAAATTCACAGTGAAATTCAGTTAATTCTTTTAAAAACAAAGTTAAATGTCTGTAAAATTTCACTTCAGTTTAGTAGAGATAAATGTCTACTTAATCTGTAGAAAAAAATAAAATTTGTATCTGTAGTACAATTTTCAAGAAGCTATATGATTTTATAACAACGTAACATTGTCTTATGGAATCGTATGTCGTTTTGATATTTTGATAAAAAGGCATTTTAAAACTATATATGCTTTTTTCTTCAAAAACTGCGTAACATAATTTTTATGGCCTATTCTATAAATGCTTTAGTGAACTTTTTGTGATATTTCAAAAATATTTTTAATAGAACTGATATCGTGTTAGAATACGATATTTTTTGAAAAATTTCCGGTGACATTCAGTTAAGTTTTTTTAAAAAAACAAAGCTGTATTTCTGTAAAATTTCACTTCAGTATAGTAGAGATAAATGTCTAATTAAAATGTATAAAAAATTAAAACTTGAATCTGTAGTACATCATTAGGAAAGGTGCATGAATAATATACAATGTAACATTATCGTTTTGAGGAGAAAATATGCCTTTTCTCTGTAATTAATGGGAAGGAAGAATAGAAAAGAAGGTGTATAAGAGAAATATGAAAGGAAAAGGAATAAAAAATGCATTGATTTTCACTATATTTTGTTGGAATATTTTGATGAGGCAGTGTTTTTACCTTTAACTTGAATTATCTCAAAATGATATTTTTGAAACTGCGAGTACTTTTTTCTCAAATTCTACGTTATATATGCTTTTGAAATTTTTACCACCTACTCCATACATATAAATGTATATACTGAGCAGATTTGCTTCTATTATTTCCAAAGTATTTCTTAATAGCTGTGATCGCCTGTTAGGAGACAGCCAAAAAACACCAAGCTATATTAATGTAAGAAATCTGCTCAGTTTAAAGATAAATGTGTACTGAAACTGTATAAAAAAATTCAAACATGTATCTATAATACATTCTAAAAAAAGAACCTAAAAAATCACCAATTTAACATTAGCGGTATAAGGGGTACCGACTCCCCTTAATATTTGTGTTTAAAAGAGCATAATATATAATAATTCATGTATTAATTCATGAGATGAACAATTACGCCATTAACAGTTCCACTCGTCAAAAAGAAGGAGGGAAAATTTTCTTAGGACGTGATATAGGATGAATCAAAATGAATACCCTGATTTCAAAGCTTTTCTGTGCAACAAGTACTTCCTGTTATTATTTGAAAGAACATGTAAAATATTCAAGATCTAAATGTAAATATCACATATAATTAATTTGCTCTCCGTTTCTGACTGTTATGGTGTGACTAAAAATTGTTAAGTTGGGCCTAACCCTATAGCTGAAAAGAAATGCATATAAAATGGCACTGTGATCGTATAAATGATTAGTACACCAAAGGCAAGAGCACACGATTGAGTTAGACAAGAAAAACACTATTTATTAACAATTCAGCACGACATTACTGTAGAATAAACATTCGACACATCAAAATCTATAAAAACCATTAAAACACGTGTATGCAAAATGTGTATAGTTACTATAAAAATGTGATACTTGTGGAAAAAAATATTATTTTATCTGTAATAGTTACTATAATAATGTTGCAACATATTGAGAAAAAGGAAGCTTCAACTGCAGTTGAGAAAAAAGTCTTACTAAAGCATGCTTAACATCAGGATGAGGAAACGAAGCTTGAAAAACTATTCACTCAAACCGAGATCTCCATAATGCTACACTTTAGTATAAACACCTGTGATGAAGAATTCTCTGGAACAATATGTCCTTAAAAGCACATGGCAAATCGCTTCAATCGATCTTACGAAAACATGGATCGTACACTACGTAGCAACTCGTAAAAGCAGGAATCAAAAAAAAGGAAGGCGACATCACTCCAAACCCATTCTTCACCTCTCCGTCACATCTAGCCGAACGAACACCCAGAAGCATGTGTGTTCCACCTGTTGCCATTCATGCTCTTCTTAACAGAAACCTGTTCTAACGCAAGTCCAACTAGAACATTAGTCTGTGCACTTTCGGTCCAACTATAACATTCCTGTGAACCTTCAGTCCAACTATAATGCAGTCCTGTTCACACTGACACAGCATGCATCGTCTATAATGTAATACTTCTGAAGTATTCCTTTGTTGATGCTGACAGTATCACCTGTGATGAGGGTTTTATAATCACAGATTGTCGTTGGACATGGAGTTATACACATCCAAAAAGAAATAAAATGGAAGGCTGTTTGAGTTTCATGAAAGTCAAAACAACAACTCTCTATTTCTGTTGGCTGAACGACCAATCCACCGATGCGGTTACATATTGCTACGAAAATCATCGGGTGGGTGTGCGGTGAAAGAAGTCCAACAAGCTGGATAATGGACAATGAAGCTTTATTCTACGAATATTCCTGGAAAAACGAAGCACAGGTAACAAGAAAACAGCACTTGCACAAATTAGCTACACAAACAGACAGCAAATCACTAATAATCACAGAAACAGTTCTATCAATAGCGCTCAGCGTCTAACAGCTGTCTAACTAGAACTGCTAGCAGAACTCCAAAGATATTGATTTCCTCGTTTAACCACCTCAGTATTTACAGCTTTTTAGACATGCTGGAACATCACATGAAATTCTCTAAAAATATCTCTACATCTCGTGTCCTAATTGAAATAGGGCCACAATTCCTGCATTTTCTGTCGCCGAAGTCGAGGGTCATTGGCTGGCATCCAATACGAATATCTGTAAAACTTTCTTTCAAACCACAATAGCAGGGAAACGGCATTACAGATTAGTAACAATATTATTCAGGTAATGCTACCATTTCCAACGACATCCTACCATAACTGATTTGAAAGCCCTTATTGCAACTCTTATTGCCAGTGTCGCCAGAGACATGTTATTGAAGTTATGGAAAAAATTACCTTACATACTAGAGTTTGCCGTGTAACATACACAGTGCATATTGATCATCTGCGGTGTTAAATACAAAACTTGAGTCTATACCTTTTGGACTATGCGCCTTTCAAATAAATACAGCAAAGACGTATCTCACAATAGCTTTGGAATTAGAGCGTACATTTCTATTCACCTTGTATATATAGATGACTTATCAAGAAAACCAGAGGAAGTGGTCTCCCCTAAACTTTCTTGCACACTTTCTAACAAAAGTGTTCTACCCGACGCCTCCCTCAGGCCTAAAAATTGCAGAGTCCACGATATATTATTGATATTGATATTGTCTTCGCAGAACGCTGCAATACGAAAGGATAAAAAATGCAAGCAAGATAACATTCGCCAAGTCAGTAAAATAGTGCCAAAAAGGCGCCAAGTTTACGAGTCGTGCGTCGATACACTATATGGCGCCTATTTTTTCGTCATAGCAAGATATGGAATTTGAAAGCATTTTTTTCAACCGATTGAAACCAAAATTGGACTCGGGTCTACAATTAAGGTTAGAAGACCACACACTAAATTTATTTTATCTAAATCTTTGTGTTAATGAGTTATCGTGTACACACAATAATACGATTAAACAGACAGACAGACAGTCAAGCTCTTGTTAGATTTGGTCAAATTTTGATATCGACCTACATTTCTTATGATAACACTGTGTACCAAATTTTATCCATCCAGCTGTTTAAGTTTCTGATTTATAGTGTTCACATTAACGCGGACAGAACGCCGCCCCATGTCCCTGTGCCTGATGCCTTTACAGCACTGAACCGGTTGAGTAGGGGGAAAAGCAATTACCGCCTTGCCCATGGGGGAGCGAACCCACAAGCTTCGCGTTATGAGCGCGACGCTCTAACCAACTGAACTAATGGGTCTTCGTATTAACGCGGCCAGACAGACTGATTTCCCGAGAACGGAGTTTGTTCAAAATTTGATAGAAACCTACAAATTTGGTGTAAAGAACACATACCAAATTTCATCCCTCTAGCTTTAATAGTTTTTTAGTTATCGTGTTCACACACACACACACAGACAGACATAATTCCAAAATTGTGTTTTTCGGACTGAGGGAGGTCTAAAACGTGGAGATTCGTCAAAATCTCGAGTTAGAATTTTTTGACGATTACAGTACTTTCTATTTGTATACTTCGTATACGAGAAAATAAAAATTATGCAGCAAGGATAAGTGGATAATATTAAAAAAGTTCTTCGGTCAGCTGAGTATATAATTTCAAAATTAACAATAAACTCTAAAAGAAAGAAGCGATCAGAAAAAAAGATATCTGCTTGTGGCTGAAGTAATCATTCCATTGTATTATAAAGTGTTGTGAAATTGGAGTTATAGAGCATGCAAATGAAATGTGTATTTTATGAAACTTTTGCTTCCACAATTCTGAAAGAATAATAATGATTCTGAATTTAGCACATTTAAAGTTTTAAATCATGTTCTATAAAATTTCGCGATAACATTTCATGATGTAGGAAATACTACACGGGCAATCGAAAAAAAGTATTTTAAAATATTCTTCTTTTGATAGCGTTTTTTAATATCTGTATAAATATACACAAATATTTGCAGATATACAATAGCTGTAGTAATTTTTGGCATTCACATCTCAAAAAAATATTCCACTTATGAATTATCTCCTCCTGTATATGTAGATAGGTAGAAAGAAAAAGGTGATTGCTCCCTATTTAACCAGAGAGTGATCTTCCCTAGACTTTCTCGCATATTCCTGAAACGAAAGAATATGTAATTTGAATGACTTTTTTTCGACTGATTGAAGCGAAAATTGAGCAAAGATTTGCAATTAGGGTTATAAGACCTCATACTAATATCTATTTATGAAATCATTTCGTTTAGGAGTTATCGCGTTCACATGCTTGCGAATATACAGACCGACAGACAGTCAACCCAATGACGAATTTCGTCTAAACTTTGAAAGAAATCTACTAATTTTATGTAAAGCCAATATAGCAAATTTCAACCCTCTCGCTCTAACAGTTTTCCAGTTATTGTGTTCACAGATAGATAGACAAACGGACAAATGGACATAATTCCAAAATTGTGTTTTTTGGACTCAGGGAGGTGTAAAACGTGAAGATTCAAAAAAACCTCGACTTCGAATTTTTATCACGATTGCAATACTTTCTCTTTGTATGTACTTCGTATACGAGAAAGTAAAAGGTGTAGATTTAACAGTGACATAACTCTTACAAAACACTTCTATCGTATTTTGCAAGCATCATTGTGTCTTACGTTGACTAGGCAAGACCGAGTGGGGTTAGAACCATCACCAGTAAACTGTTGATCGAATTGCGTTAAGGCCTATTATGAAGTATTCGATTAGTTGAAAATGAGTTAAACTCACAGGAAAGTGATGATCTGGTGACATGGAATGCAATTCCACTGAAGATTCCACGCTTATGTATTTTTGATGCAAATTGATCTATTCTGGATTACAAATGGAAGCTTCCACGCTTATGTATTTCTGATGCAAATTGATCTATTCTGGATTAAAAATGGAAGCTTCGACGCTTATGTATTTCTGATGCAAACTGATCTATTCTGGATTTAAAATGCTGACGTGAGTTTTAGTTTTAAGTTCGCAGTTATGGAGTTCGGAATAATGTACCACTCTCGTCATGTGACTGTGATTTAAAATTACGAAACCCAATTAACAAGAGTTTTGCTTGTTTTATACCATAATTATGTTTAACATTCAATGGTGGTTTACCAATCTTAAAAATCTCATTTAATCTTGTATAATGATAAAGATATTTTAATTTGATTGATTCTTCCCAGTAACCTGAGAAACGAACCCATTAACGATTTTTTGTAATAAATTAAAAACTATTGAATTGTTGAAAACTGAAGCAAACTATGAAATAACCTATTTTTTAAGTTTATAAATAATTTAAAATTAACTTACATGGGATGAAAATGTTAATATACTTTGTTCTAAATCATCACTTCTTAAACTGTTGGTAGCGTCTTCAGCTGGTCGCATAAAACAATCAATTGATCACAAAGACTTCCACGATGTCTTTTATATTTCATTATTCACTACTTGCTGGTAAAATAGTTAAAAGTAAACCATCTTGTCTACAGAAACTTCAGTGAAATTTTCTGCATAATTATTTTGAGCAAAACTGTTTTTTTACTAATCATTAATTAGTGTTCCTCTTTGGATAGGGTCGAGCTAAAAATTTTATAAATTTAAATGATGTCCCGAAACATTTTAAAGCCCGAAATGGGTCAAAAATGAAAACTATTAGAATTCCTGTTTTAAATTATGAAATAAGATTTAATAAATATAAGTTTTTTTTAAAAATATAAATAATAATAATGATTTCGGGATTTGTTCAAACACAGAAAACAACACATAAAAATTTTCAGTATTAAATACATACCTTCCATTCCTCGAGATAAAGTTAACAGTGATCCGATAAATAACTTATCGATTATATAAAAGAAATTTCTTTTATTCAACATATTCTGGAGAATCTGAAATAATATTGTATATATCTTGGATAAACAGCCGAAAGAACTGTTGGTACAAAGAAAGGTTGTCTATTTTTATCAATTTTAACATTAATGAGTTAATCATTTGAATTGTTTTTTTGATTAATTAAATTTCTTTAATTTCTAGCATAGATGCAGCTAAAGAGCATTCACAAGAATATTTGTTTGACTTTGATTTTGTACCTTCAAAGTGAAGAGACACAAAATCGAAGTAAGAAGTATGACGGTAATTCTTGTGAATTAATACTTTGAAACAAAAAAAAATCTTATTAACCCAAGAATTTAAGAAATTTAATTAGTCAAAATGATTCAAGTTATTCTGATTAATCATTACAAATATTTAAAAATTGATCAAAATTAACTAATAACAACGAATATTTTTTTCATACCCTACCGTTTTATAGTGACATAACATTAATCTTTAACAAGCAAGTGACTATGCACACTCTCTTGGACTCTATGTGTTAACACAGACAGAGCAACATCCAAAATGAAATGTCAGGAATTATAAGTAACTTTTGGACATTTGAACAAAGGAAGAAATTAATTTCCTACACCGAAAACGAAAATATCTTTAAACTCTTAATCTCATTTTTTAAACAAACACTTTAAACATAACTGCCAGTTTTCCTAAGCCTATCTGAAAAAACTGATTCTTCGTTTCGCTAAAATATTAAAGAAACGAAAAATAACCTCACCAAACCTTTGATTGTAGTTATTTCTCTTGATTAAGATTACAGAATCAAAGTTGATGTTAAATTAAAACCAAAACTTTTCCTATATAAGCTTCTGTCCATTAACATTTGACGATGTTAATTTGGTAAAGGTGGCCATTCTGAAAATGTCACATCTTATCCTTGAAGCTAACTACAATGTACAAGAAAAGCTTTATACCTGTTCTTGGAGGATCGGATTGTCTAATCTTGTTTCCCAGGGTGTCTATCAGCAGGTTACTTATCATTCTACGAACACAGTTAGCAGCCCGATCCCTAGTTAGGCTATCATGTGTATTCCTATCAGTAATATAT